CCTGTTCTGGTATGTCAGGGTTAGTATACCAGATTATTAGTATTGCCATATTTCTTCTATATGCTTTAAGAGAAATAATAATAAATAGGTATTTTAAAAGCAAAGAACTTAATTTCGATAATTGAGATTGAATAATTTGCAGGCTGAAGGGGATAATTTTTTCCTTCATTTCTAACTCCATTTAATATTGCAACACAATAAGAAGAGTAAAGAAGACTATAAAATGTTAAAACAGCTTAGTTTAATGTGCAGCATGGTGGAGAGGACCTGTGCAGAGCTTTGCAAGCTGCAACCTACATAACTTGAGGTCAGTCAGCTGACATCGTCATCAATTCACGAGGCCGTGCAAAAGCCCTACAGGAACGCAGAGGCTGCCTTAATGCTACTGTCCAACTCTTAGCAGCAGCCTGGTAAATTCTTACTGCAGCTGAGCTTCTCTTCACTTTATACACAGATGTTGGTAATGCACTTTAATGAAACCATATAGTTTGTACTTCTTCTGCATGGTTTAATATACTCCAGTTTCACATCTGTAAACTGTGCATCACTTCATGCTTTAGGCAGAAATCATCTTTACCCTGTCAGGAAGTGTCAAAGCATGAGTTCAAGAATATATAAGAGTATTAGAAAGGTTTTTCACTGTTGAAAAAATATTTCCTCATTAAATATTCATTTATTCAAATTCACATTTTGCACTCACAGACCGATCTACAAAAAACATCAGCACGTGACATTGGACATTTTGGTCAAACATACTAGATACTGAAAAGAAAAATACACGAATGGATGGTCTGCATGTCATTTAAATGAGCTCGATCACATCATCATTTTTTTTTTCTCTCTCTCTCTCTCAAGACATCAGCAGCAGCTGCTTCTCAAACCAGTCAAGCATCCAATCCGGTCAGGTCGACCTTCAGCAGTTAGCACAGCCAATTAAAGGGAGAACACCTCATGAAGAAGAAAAACAAACCAATAAAACTCCCAAAAAGTTGTGACAAAACCAGTTATGAAATATAACAAGTGATTGATAATGTCATGTAAGAAGGAAAAAAAAAAAAAAACAATCAAGGAAGAAACAAAACAAAGGAAAGTGCTAGTAACTTTCAGATGAGTTTTACATTAGCGGATTAGTTAGCCGGAACCAACCATCATAGCCCAGTCCACCTATGCAGCCCAGTCTCAGAGTCCCATTAAGGAGATCACAGAATGGGGAACAGCACAGCCAAGTCTCTTGTCTCTCTGGAGCTCTGCGTTTTTCTGAACACTGCATCCAGGTTTGTGAATGTGAGGGACGAGACGGGTCAGGTGGCTGAGGAGCTGAATCCTGTGCCTGAGCGGTGGGCCAGCTGTGCGTCTGCTGTGAGAAAAAGCACGGCAGCTTTAGCGGCATCGCCTCAGGCCACGTAGTGATACTGGTTGGGAGTCTCCTTGTCACGCTCCATGTAGTCTCTGTCTATGAGCGACTCGATCCGCTTCTTCAGGTCTCCGGGCTGCGGAGAAGTCGGTAAAAAACAGCAGCAAAGTGAGATTTGACCACAATGAGAAGGAAAAAAAGAAATGAAGACATGAGGTTTAAGTCACCACCTTGACAGGAAACTTGAGCTGGTTGTAAAGCTCCGATACCAGCAAGTTGTGACTCAGCGTTTTCCTCATCTTCATGATTCGCACGACGGCAGCGTCGATCTGGTACTGCCTGTCCTGGAAAACGCGCTCTGTGGTGCTTACCTGCTCCTCCACCTGTGGATAAAATAAAAGGTCAGGAAAAAAAAAGTAGATTCTTTGTTTAGACTGCAGTTTATTTGTTAAAAAGTAAAAATAACAAACAGTTCAAATACAATAAGTTAAGAGGGACTTACGGTTTCCTTCATTTGAATCTGGTTAATCTTGATGCGAAACAGTTTGTGTTTAAAATCGTTGTTGAAATTGAAGCGATCTCCATCTTCCACGTCTTTCCCTCGAGGGTTCTTGTTGAGGACGCGCGCTTTCCCACAGGCCAGTGACTGCAGCGTTCGCTTGAGCTCGCCCTCCTCTACGCAAAACAACAGAGACCATCAGTGGAAGCCACAGACACCTCCTCTCACAGCTCCCCTACAGATTTAAAGACATGTGTAACCTATTCCTGTCGCAGCATGGATCTCCTCCATGCTGAATTCCTCCCCCTCGTTAAACATCAGCAGCACCAGAGTTTGGAACAGGGAAACCTGCAGCTCCTTCTTCCCCTGTGGGACAAAATATTTACTTTAATCAGATGTTTTGTCCATAACTCAGTGCTCTGTAAGCCGTTCAGACTCTCACCTCTTTAAACTCGGCCTTCAGGACAGCATGGCCCAGTGTGGGCTGCCACTGCAGCTTCCTCCCACTGTGTTTACCCAGGTAGAACAACTTGAACACTTCCTGCAGTTTCACCATCTATCAAGAACACACAAACGCATCAGCTGATTGACTGACTGCAGTTATTAAAGCAAATCCTATTACTGGGCTAACAAAGCACAATGAATCTAACCTCTGATGGCAAATGAACCTCCATAGGGGTATATGAAGGCCAGTAGCCCATAGTGAGGATGTTAACGGTGAGCTCAATCATGCTTGGTTCACTCTGGTTCTGCATATACTGAATAAAGAAAATTAAAGCATAAACATGTTAATGTGTCAATGACACCAATCATTTTCTATTAAAGGTGTTCAGATCATTCTGGTACCTGTTTGAACTGGATCATGATGTCTTTAGACAGCTCCATGTCCTTAAACATCCCCTCAAGCTTACTAGTAAAGGCTGCACCGCATTCTGCAAAAAAATTAAATAAAAATTTTACAGCTTGCATGTTTTGTACGCCACAAACACCCGATTCAGACTATTGTAGGATTTAGTTACTCTATTAAGGCTTCAGACTTATTAAAATCAAATAGTTACAGTTAATCTACAAATAAAAACGAAAATTTTTTCGGGTTTCTTCACTACTTTAATGTATGTTATTCAGATTCTATGTGACATAGAAACATAATAGTGGGTATATTTGTTGAGTGTAGAGAAAAATGAGATGTTTCGCATTAGCTTATAGTGGAATACATTTGTGTTTAACCATCTTAATCGGTGATTAAAGCTCCAACTTTTCTAAGCTAAATTTAAATAGATCTATATTTTATCAACCCTTCTGCAGTCAGAAGGTTTATAGCAAATCTTTGAACATCTGATTAATGCCCTCCCTGATAGGCCTGTCAGTTTTGATGAAAAGTCCTGTTTGCAGATGACCTGTAAACTTTTCTTAATGGATTTAATTTAATCTGCAGCAGAGAAACAGAGGTAGAATCCCAATGGACTAATAGATATTTTCCTTTTATTTGTTCTAACTTGCAGTTATGAACTACTTTGCAATGGTTTATTACATGGTTTTCATTTGTCTGGAGTAATAAGATACACACCCAGGTAAAAATACAACTGGCGGGACTAAAGACTCACCATGTTTGAGTTTGGAGAGCATGGACTTCTCTGCATCAACAGAGGCACTCTTACCAACCAGCAGACGCTTGGCCAAATCTTTCTTATAAAAAGCCTCAAACACGTCTTTCCCTGTATGAAGGAAAGCAGGTTTAGTCAGTCTTGTCACTGATGTCTGACTGTAATGGTGCAGTAAGATGAAAGGTTGATTCCTCTGAGGTCTAACAGACCGTGAATGAAGCGGAAGATGATCATTATCTTGTCCAGGATTCTCTCCAGTTCCTCCTCTGTCGCCTCCTTGTTTCCAGCTCTTAACTTAGAATCCACATATTTAGCTGGAAGAGAAGCAAAAAGACCAACAAAAGATCTTATCAAAGACCAGAACTAAGCGAGAATTAAAACAAAATGGACCGTATTGAGATTAAAGATGATTGGAATATTATTTTCTTTACCCACCGATGAGCTCAGCAGGCTTGTTGGGTCTCTTGTTGATGAAGGTTTCAAAGGCCTCCTTCATGGCGTTGATGAACGCCTCGTTACGTGCAAAGCAGCTCTGCACCACATTGTCCATCTTGTCCTTAAAGTCCAAAAGCTCTTGGACCATATCCTTGTCTTTCTCTGGTGTGCAAACGATCTCTCCCCCAAATGACTGCAATCAGATGGTTTATTTCTATTTTTCTGAGACACAGACTGGTCTAATAAATACGTCTAAAGCTGTGTCCAAACGTCCGCCCTAACCATTAAATTTCGCTCCTTATTGGTCACGTAACTCCACCTCCCCGCAAGGTGCCTGCACCATCTTTGTTATTAGTCGCTACTACAACCCTACAATCCCACGATGCTTTGCGAGGAGAGCTCTTGCAAAGCATACCAAGATATATCTGCTCGTCTACTGACCATGGATGATCACTACTTTTCAAGCTGCATTGTGGGAAATTTCGAGTCCACTACCCGTTTCATCCACTAGATATTCGGACACTCATTTAAAATGGTGTAACTAATATATAGTGATTAGGGCAGACGTTTAGACGCAGCCTATATTACGTCATTCATGTGCAAACCTTAATGTAGTCCCTCCAAAACTGCAGCAGCGTGGGCAGTCCACCTTTCACTTTACTGAAGAGCTGGTAGAGGAGGGCCAGCTCAGTAACACGGTTCTCATTGAGTAGATTACTCAAACCTAGCATAAACAAATAAAGCCACAGCAAACATTTTAGTTTCTTTCTCACCTCAACAGCTCATAGATGTCAAAATAAGTACAGATTAAAGCTCCTCTGAGGGATCTAAACAAATAAAAGCCACATGTATGTATCTTTGTATGAACAAAGGCTTTAAGAACTTAAGAAAAGCAACAACAAAAAAAACAAGAAACAAAAAAAAAACAACCAAACATGATTTAACTAATCAGAAGCCAAACAAAGACGTTCTGATTGCAGGACAGTGGGACATGTTCTTATTCTTCTGAGGACGCAGACTGTCTTCTAGTCTGATGCAGAGGCAAAAATCAGGTGTTTTTTTAAGACCACAGATCAAGTTCCAAGAACTCACACCCTTATACAGTTAATAAACTTCTGAAACAGCTCTGAAGAAAGTGAAAACATTGATGAAAAACATCAACACATCTGACGGGATGATAATAGAGTCCTGCTGTTGTACCTTTTTGTAGAATTGCATTCATATGTTCTCCTAAAAGTTGCTTCTCCACACAGCAGATCAGAGGTTTCCTGTAAAATAAGACATACATTTCATTTCAAAAACTACAAAAGTTTAAGACAAGAGGTTGAACATGTTTTATGTCAAATAAAATATGTTTACAGGGTTCAGTATCAGTCTCTGTCTTAAAAATGGCTCTATTACTACTCCTACAGTGCTTAGAGAAAGAAATATATCAATAAAATACCAAAATAAAATAAAAAATCAGTTCACTATTCACTCAAAAGTTGAAAATGAGTCTAAATACATTGATAAACATGAGCACTGATGTCAGGCTGAAATAATCATTCATATTAGTAGAGCAAACTACTGCAGCACCACCTGGTCTGGTTTTCCCTTTTCCATCAAGAAAACATTTCAGGATCATTGCTTCAGAAGCAGAGGTGGGTATTAACTAGTTACATTTACTCCGTTCCATTTATTTGAGAAACTTTTTGAAAAAAAAAAAGCACTTTTAGTAGTTTTACATCATTGTACTTTTTACTTTTGCACTAGTAAATGTATGATAATGTTTCTCAATTGAGCAAAATGTCTGGCTACTCCATCCATTGTGAGTAACTTCACTTAATGAAAACAAGCTCGCTTTAAACAAATATGCACCATTAAGAGAAAGACTTTCTCCTTTTTTGTATTCAAGGCTCATTGGCTGAACGTTATTTTCCATCTGCTGAGTCTGCCAGTATAAACAGTATACGATAATTTAATCTATTCTTAAATACTATAACTATTGTTTTTACAAATGTTATGTTTGTTTTATGTTTTTACTGTGTAATCACTCTATGTTTATTTTTTATTCTTCCTTCTTATTCTTTTAAACACCAGAATTTGTATGTCACTTAATATCTTGTGTAATTTTACATCATTTTGTAAAATATTAAATCAGTTGTTATGGTGATGAGTAGTCAGTAGATCAGTTACTCAGTACTTGAGTAGCCTTTTTACCAAATACGTTTTACTGTTACTTGAATATTTTCTTCAAAGGTTACTTTTTACTTTTACCTAAGTGCAATCTTTAGATACCTTTAGATACCCCACATCTAGTCAGAAACTAATAGACTCAAGAAAAGTTTATTTTCCAAAGCTGCAAAGGCAATCATCTCCCTGCTGGCAGTAACAGAACGTCTCTCCTTAAAATCTACTGCACTTCCAGCCCATTTCAGCACAAGCTGCATTTTATTTAAATACTACATGCTACAATCCATAAACATGTGTTTCTATGTTCAACTTTCAATATATTCTAAGGATGTTTGTCAGTTTTTTTCTATAAGTGTTATTAACCTATGTCTGTGTTTTTGTACATGTGAATTTAGAGCTGGTGGTTCTCACAAAAACTATGATCATGGAGACATAATGAAAATAAAAACTCTTGATTCAGCTATGGCGGCATTAGGGTCAGATCAGGGTGGTTACCTTCTGCCTGCAACTAACCCAGGTTTATGTGTGTTGGGTCAGGGAGAGAGGTATATGTACATACCATAAACTTCATTGTTGTTATAATTGTGATGTCATTACTCACATTTTTTTGACATCCAGCTGAGTTACACTATCAGCTTCTTGCTAATGGAGCTTACTCTCCAAGCATGAATGTGTACGCTATTGTAAAGTGTAGATCTTAGCTTCCAACAGAAATGGTGCTGCTTCTGCCCACTCTTGTTTGCTCCATCAGTGATGTTGACAACAGCCCGCATATTTATGTCGCACCAGCTACGGTGGTCACAACAGCCTCACAGACCCGCCCCCTCTATGTAGTTGGCTAGAATGTTGCTTTTGCGTTTTGTCAGGATTGGTTGAATTGTGTGATTGACAGATTAAAGATAGGAATGATAGAAAGTTGGCAACTACAGAGTAAAAAGCAAAAGCCTAATAAAATAAGGACTTTCAAGTCCAAATGTCACTCTGGGGTCAGGAGGCACGACCCGCCCACGCCAGGACTGTTCATTATTGGAAGTAAACTAATTGGCAGCAATTGTTTCCCCCTCCTGTTCTATAATTGTTTTCCCCCCCATCACTTCACTTTATAAATGCCCTTTGTCCATAAAGAAGCTTTTGGATTCACAGTTTGAGCTCCAACCCTATTAACTATTTTATAATAGTGTTTTTGGATAATTATCATTGAAGATGTGTGAGTTTATCACACCCTGGTATTGGCTGCCTGTTGCGTGTCAGAACTGATGTTATAATCTAATTCGGACAGTTCCTCTGTTTGGATATACAGTTATAATCTTCATTCTGTACATGGCAAAGATTTGGGAATGGAAAGAGCGGTGTCCTTCAGCTAAGAACGAAGCCTAATTTTTAGATAAGGCTGGAGCCATGGATGTCTAATCATCTGCTAATGTCTGTGATGTAAAATATGATGATGTGGCAGACTGGAGATGTATAAAATGCCTTCTTCACATTTAATTGGGGCCACTTCCTGAAAGGTGAGCCTGGAGGTGAGCAGCTGCCTTCCATATATTGTAAGTAATTTCTCTGATCCGAGAAAGATTACAATTTCTATCAGAATCTGTTGTCATGTCTCCTGGTTATTTAATACATATAAGTTATGAAATGTTACTTAAAGAGTTTGTCCCAAGTGATCTCTTTTCAGGAAAAAAGAAAAAACGGAAAAGATAGAGCATCAGGGTGCATACACAGAGCCTATCTTTAACAATAGTAAAAACAAGGCCCTTTCTGGACATGTCTACCATTAAATATGAGTGAAAGCAACAGAAAGGCTGTGCCAGCAGCGGCTCAGTTTAAATCAGGGGTCTGCAACCTGCAGCTCCGCGGCCACAAGTGCCTCTCTAGACACTTGGCAATTAGCTGGCTTTCCAGCTAATTCTTTTAAATATTTTAATTGAAAATTGCATTAAATTTCAAAAAAAGAATTGATTATTAAATATAACAGAAATGTATTATTTAACCTTTAATAAATGTAATTTCTTTTTCGTTTTTTTTAGCAACCCATTCAAAACATATTTATTCTCTTTTTGCACATTTTCCCCTTAATTTTATAACCTAAAATTTCAAATGGCACAGAGGTTATTTTAAAAGGACAATATCCTGTGGTAAATATTTATCAAATATGGTCTTATATATATATATATATATATATATATATATATATATATATATATATAAAATAAATGCATGTAATATTTGCGCCTCTAAACAAGTTTTTTTGGCAGGACTGGAGTCAATTATGTCTCTTAGGATTATCATTCGGGGTTGCAGACCCCTGGTCTAAACAATCTATGATTATAGGATACATTTCTAAAACTAAAGCAGGAAGTACTCTTTTAAAGATGAAGATTATCAAATTTTACCACATTTTAGTGCAGGGTACATTAAACATTTATCATCCAAAAATTATTTTCAGACTCCAATTTCCAGAGTTCTCTGTCCCTTTTGGCCCAAGTAAGAAAGGAGGGACAGACAGGTTAATGAAGGGGGGTCTAATTCCAGCAACTAGAACGTTTAGATCTCTCAGCTCCAACAATTAAATAATCAAATGAATCAGGATTAAATAACTGGGCCATTAGCAGGATTCTCTAGAAATCAATTCCTGCTGAGGAGATAATTAGTTTTGCGCTGATGCTATTTTTTGGCCTTGACACCGACACCTGATTGTGTAGTATTGGCCAATACTGATACTATCTGTTTGAAATTGATCTGTATGTGTGTGTGTGTATATATATGAAGAACTACATACTACTTGGGTGTAAAATAATTCCCATCATGGCTTTCTCAAGCTGCTGCCTACCTTTGTGAAGCAGGAAAAATAATACGAAGTAAATCCAGTAGAATTTTTTATTGCCAACCTTGAATTGATGACAATAGCTGAATAAACTTTTGGCTCTCAAAACGGTACAGATGCCCTATTTTTCAGTAATCGCCGATACTGATACCACCATTTTAGTGCTGGATCAGGGCCCTGCCCGATACTGGTATCAGTGCAACACTAGAGATAACTCAGTTTTTATTCAATTGTGTAGCCGTGTGTACAGATATAAGGGCTGCAGGACACTAGGATCTTTTAATTAAACTCTGGATATTTTTCCCCCTAAGACGGAACTGATTTAATTGATGGATGACTGAACTAAACCGTCATGGATCTTACTGTGTGCTCTGGTCGAGGTAGCTCACAATTCGATCATTCTCCTCCTCTAAACGGCGAGCCACATGGTGCAGGCATTCAGGCACCTACGAACATATAAAAAAAGATAAATTACTGAAATGTGAAGAAAGATACAGGCGATCAACGTGGCCAGTTTCATGAGACGATCCACTCACATCTCTCTCCTGCATCAGCCGCTGCCCCTCAGCAGCATAGAGACGGTTTGTTTCTGTCAAAAACCTCTCCTCAAAGCAGTCCTTATAAACCTTTGAAGATGGAGAACACAATGGTCAGGACTTGAACAAACAAAGCCTGAAGCTGTTTACGGGACATCCGATACCTGCAGGTCTGACAGCATCCCCAACAGACTCCGCAGCAGACTGCGATCCACAGTCTCCCCATTTCGCTCCAACTCTATCTGCTCCAAAATGCCCTCCACCGTTCGCTTCTGAATCGCCGCGTCGCTCACGATGTGGGTGCGGAACAGCTCCAGCCCCGTATCCCTGCAGCCAACAGATCAACATCATCATCTGCCTGACTGCATGATGGAAAAAACGAAGAAAGCTAAGAAACTTTACCAGATGGAGGGGAGGAGAGAGTTCTGAAGCACGTATGTTCGATCCAAGAAGAGAAAGATGCTTCGGATCATTATCTAAAAATAGAGAAATCGATTTATCAGCGCGGATTAACTGAAGACTTCTCTTAGCCAAGGCATTCAGACTCCTTACTTACAGTTTGCCTGCAGTGATCCTGCCAGCAGCGATTCATTCGTTTCAGGAAGGAAAGATTGTCCAGAGACTCTGTGAGCTCCAGGTTAAAGGGAAAACCACAAAAAACAACTTTCTCTCATTTTAAAACTCTTAACTTTTAATCCTTGACTTTAAAGCATGTGAAGGAGGCAGCCGATATAATGAACACAAAGTGGAGATATGGTTATAAAGCTGCGCATTTATCACATGAACTACCTGATCCCACAATTTATAAAACAATACCAAAATAAAAATGTAAAAAAAAATCTCACTACCTCTGTGCTTTCTAAATGTTTTTTCCAAGGTGTCCTGATGAGGTTATGGATAAAAAATAAACACAGAAAAAGGATATTCTCTGAACTGGTGAATCTGGGCTCGCACGTGGTCTTCACACACCTGGCACAGCTGCTTGTACAGCGTGGGGGAAACTTTGTAGGAACACAGGTTCTCCACAGCCTTTTGTCAGTGAGACGTTTGAGAAGAGTCACAGCAAAATAAACAAGAAAACAATCAGACACAACCTCAGCCTTCTCCACAGAGACGTTCTGAAGCAATTTTAATATTCAGTTTCCGATTTTGCTCAACAGCTTGATCCATAAACACACCAACCTGATAGAGCTCTTCCAGGTTGTATTTGATGGAAGTGCTGTTCTGGATGGCGCTCACCGCATCGCGGAGCTTCAGCCATGTGTCCTCTGTGTAGTTCTCTGCTAGTTTTGGTCTGTCTGTTAAAAAAAACACACACAAAAAAATACATTTTAATCACACAATTAACAAAAGCAGGAAGAAGAAACAACTTTTACTTTGTAAAAAATGCTGTGACACCTATTCAATGATTTTATAACTGATTATTATTAAATGACATTTTATTAAGAACTTAATTTCTCAAAAGAAATCTTCGGCATTCATAGAATATTTATTAGGACAGCAGCTAGAAATTTTTCTATTGATTATTTTTTCTATTTATTGACTAATCTTATATTTTTTGAAGAGTTTTGTGTTTCTTGCAGCTGTAAGTAGGGCTTCATTCAGCAAATGTTATGTTTTAGTCTGTGAACCATTTCTCTATGTAACGATTCGAACTGATTACCAGTTGGTCATTTAATAATAGATTAATCATGATTTCAATAATTTCAGTTCCAATAATTATTTCTGCCTTGATATTCATTAAAGCTCAAAAACATATTGCTATATACACTTAAAATATTCCGTCTCAGTGGGATTTTCATAACATCTGTACAAATGAACCTGTTTTTCTCTCATATTTACATCCTTTATCTCTAAAAAGTTTAAGCTTTTACAATTTATCAAAACTTTAAATAGAGAAATCCACCCAGCTGCTTAAAGACAATCACAGACGTATGCTGCAGAAGTAAAAGAGTCCTATGGAAAAATAACCTGGAGTAAAATACATCATTTTAGAATCTTCATTTTCATACTAAAACTGACAATCCTTTTGCTAATCGATTAATCTGATGATTGTTTTTTTTTTTTAATCAACAATCGGAGAGTAAAAAGTTAATTTAAAAAGATTTTCAATACAATTTAAACCACATGAAACTAAAACTTTTTCATTTGAGCAGTTCTGGGGACAGATAGAATAGAAAATCCATTTATTGTCCCACATGGGGGAAATTCTGCCGCTTACAGCAGCAAAAAGATTATAGAAAAAATGGTCACACAAATGTAGACCTTAGAAAAATGTATAAGAATAACATAATAGTGAAGAGTTACAAAATAAACAAATACGGTACTATAAAGTGTTTTAACAATATATTGACTATATTTTATGAAGTTTTTTTTTATCTTTAAGAGGATTGCTCTGTCAGCTAAAGGTATGTTTCAGACTAATCAGTTAACAATTAATCGATTACTATATTATTCCATGAATATTTCATTAATCGATTAATCGTGATTATTCTGATTAACAGTTTCAGCCCTAGACTAATTTGATGGGCACTCTCTATAATTTCCACACAATGATTGCCAATACTTTCTGCTACCAGAAATATTTGAAAACAGACAAATATTTCTTTCTTCAAAGCAAAAGAAATATTTAGAAGCCTTCTTTCAGCCAGCTGGCAGGTAGTGCACAGGAGCTATCTGTAGCAAGAGGAAACTAGCACTCTGGTTACTCTGGTTTTGTTCTTCCTTCATCTCCATAAAAAAAGTCTGTGCATTGGTTGCAACAATATGGCAGAAAATATCAGATGTTTTGAGACCAGGATTATTTTAAATTGAAGGTTTTAAGTCATTTATACAACTGTTGTTTCCCTGGAGTAAAGGTTTCCACAGGGAGGTGGCCTATTTAATGCTGTAAAGTTGTTCTTCCTCTTAGCTGAGAGCCAGCAAGCCAGAGATCTTTTGCATACCAAAACGAAGGTTGATGTTTTGTTTTTTGTAGAAATTAAAATGCTTAGAAGGAAAGTACAGAGCTGATTGCTTTGAAATGTGAATCACATCAAGAAAAACAAATCAAAGACAGGCCATTGCTTGTTTATCTAAGCATGGAACAGAAATGTTACTAACTTTTCAAGAAACATCCCCAATAAATAAAACCTTTTGCAGCATGAGCCCATCCTCAGCCCCCTGTAGCTGATGATGATCATAAAGCCCCTCAGTGACGGTACCTTTGAAGTTTTTGATGACTATTTTTTTGGAGGCGCCTGTTTTTCCTGAGGTCCTGGCCATCCCGTTGGTGCTGTGCTCGGTCAGAGCAGAGAAGCTGGCCCTCTTGTCCTGTCGGGTGTCCTCTGCCATTATCAGATTAGCGCTTTGGCTTACCGCTCTATGCTTCACAGTGTTTTTGCTTAGTTACTGCTGGATTCTTCTGTTGCCTTTTTTTGTTTTATCGCTTTTAGCGATGCGGTCCGTTAGCTGAACTAGACGGCCTTTAGCCAGCACAATATGAGCCCTATTTAAAGCACAGAGAAAGCAAAAACGACACGAATGAAGGTGGAGAAATAAACTATAGAAAGCTAAGTAGACACATAGCTAGCTAACTGTTAACTGAAACTGCAGCACACTTCAGCGACCAGTTTCCGTCCCATTCGCCACTTTTATAGCTTTGTAGGCTAGTCCGTGTCAGTGCGGACTATATACGGATTTAAACCGGTTTGGTTAATAAGTTGGGCAAAAGAAAAAAAGAGCTCCATAGTTAGAGCTGATATATCAGACTCATGCTGTTGGTAGCTGTCTTTACCATTTAGCTAGCTAGCATAACAAAATGGCTTTTCTCAGACGGGTTCACTTGGATAGATGCGTTCAAGAATAGCTCGGATTTTTGCGATTCGTTTAAGTTTGTCATTGTTTTTACTTGTGCTAAAAAGTTGGCCCCTATTTTAGCAATACTTTTAAATGCCAACTTTATATCCCCTGCTTTACAGTTAAGAAGCATAAATACATACTGTACTTAGAAGTAAGCCTACTTATTTTATTTTCTTAATGATCATAATGAAAATATCTCTAATTTACAGTTTCACTCATATTTACATCACACCTACATAAATAACATGTTCAAAAATAATACTCGTCTTTTGTTGTCCTAATTTGAAAAGCAGAGGAAATGTAGAATATATTTTTTGTTAGAGGTTTATCGTAGTTGTAAATAAGAATCTGAACATTTCAGCTTTAGGTACATTATCAGATTTTTTTTTTCTTTCTGACTTTCATAGTTATATATTTGGCTAGCAGCATCATTGCCGTGGTAACATGTTGTTTTCATGTTCGTTGATAGATTTCCGCCTTTTTTGGGTGGCCTTGAACGCACCTGTGTTCCACCTGCAGCTAGCTGAGCTTCAGATGGGAGGATAGGGAAGGACCCGACCAGTAAAAGCGCAGATTTCCCCAGCTTGCCTCGGCCCCTACTCTTGGGTACCATGGTGTATATTTTTAGAAACCTCGCATGGCGGTGGCATTCTCCATATTATTAGGGCTCGCCTGTCGGTGCCGATTCGGCCTGCCGTCCTGAGCGCTCTCTGCAGCGGTAGGTATCCTGGCTGCTAACGCCGACAACTCCTCCATAAACTCGGCAAAAGGGAGTTGCTCTGATGACGATCAGATCAAGGGAAGTGAGATGGACTGGATTTATGTGAATTTTTTCACGCAGACATGTTGAAATGAAACATCTGCACTGAACACAAAACGAACAAGTCCCGTTTTTAGTAGTATCAGGGAAAATCCAACAACTATATATTAAACAGTTAGCTTTAGCCTGGCTAAGTCTGCGTAAGCTAGTGGTAGCATAACCAGTTTTTCACGGATTAAAATACAACCAGACACCCAAATTTAATCGCTTTACACAAGTAATAAAATTTAAATAAAATACTTTATCACCAGATAGTTTCTATTAACTATAAGACAACTTTCTTGCCGTTATTAAGCGCTTGCTTTCGGAAGCTAACAGGAAGCTAACACCAATCCCAAAGTATTAAACAGATTCTCCCTTTTTTTTCCTCTATAATTTTTTGTCTTGGATATTTTTTGTTTATAACCGAAAAACAGCATATATATACACAGGTATATAATGTATATGTTTTTATATCAATGGTTTAACGGTCAGGAAGTGCAGAGTCACGTGCTTCATGTGTTGAAATCTGTCACTCATTAGATGCCATTTAAAACAGACTGTTAGATGGAAGACTGGCAGGCTCATGCAGAATGGATCAGAAACACTGAGATAAGGAAAGATTAGAAACATAAACTGGTCAGATGGTATGAAATTATTGTTTTATGGTGCTGTTCTAATTAAAACTGCAATATTTTATTTTTTTTAATAATAATGAGTATCATAAAATGATCAGGTTTTACCTCTAGTGCTACAGCTTTAACTGACCTGTTTGCACTGTTTAGATTAATTTCTTAGATGCACAAAAGTAATATTAAAAGGGTCTGATCTACCTGACAGTAATAGTCATTTCCAACACAAATGACTCATAAGGTATATCACATGATCTTGGCAGTGATTCAGGATTTTTACTATATGCAGACCTTAAATCAGTCATAGCTGCAGTTGTGTTGATGTTTGATTGTTTGCTTTGTATTTGCTTTTTAGTCTAGATGCCGTGGCTGAGATGAGTGTGAAGGCTTTTGAGCTTGTCCCCGCTGTGGAGCGTGACCTCCTCATGGGCGACAAAGCTCGCATCAACATAGAATGCATCGAGTGCTGCGGCCGGCACCTGTACGTGGGCACCAATGACTGCTTCATCCACCACTTCCTGCTGGACGAGGTCACTTCCTCCAAAGGCAGATTGAGCTACTCGGCCCAGAAGCTGCTTCACAAATACCTCGGCCTCAAGAAACCGGTTGCTGAGCTGCGCGCCGCCTCCGCTTTGGAGCGTCTGATAGTGCTTTGCGACGGCATAGTGTTCCTCGTCGACATGGTGACTCTGGAGTCTGTTCCCTCGGCAGCTGGCGGCGGGGTGAAAATCAGAGGCGTGACTGCGTTCTGCATCAACGAGAACCCCGTCAACGGGGATCCGTTCTGCGTGGAAATGGGCGTGCTGTCATCCAAGAGGAGGACGGTTCAGATCTACATGGTCTATGAGGACAGAGTGCAGCTGGTCAAAGAGGTGAACACTCCTGAGCAGCCCGTCGCCGTCAGCATCGATGGATACTTCTTGTGCTTGGCCCTCACAACACAGTACATGATCCTAAACTACAACACAGGAGCTTCACAGGACCTCTTCCCTTACAACAGCGAGGAGAGGACACCCATTGTAAAGAGGATCAGCCGAGAGGAGTTCCTCCTCGCAGCACCTGGGGGTCTTGGTAGGTCTAATATGGCTTGAAATATTTTTCTGCAGGGGAACAAAAAAGGTTATCTAAATATCATTTTAAATTGATTTTAATTTATTATACAGTGTAGTTTCTGTTCCCGAAGATTAAAGTTTTGTATGGTGAAGTTTGTTTCTGCATAAAACATAGTTTAGATGTTTCCCCCCTGCTTAGTAAAGTTTTTTATTTCATCTGCCCCCTCCTCCAGGGATGTTCGCTAACGCAGAGGGCGCATCACAGCGGGCTCCGGTTAATTGGTCTGAGAGTGTGATGGCTGCTGCTGTGTGTTTTCCATATGTGGTGGCTCTGGATGAGAACTTCATTACCATCCACAGCATGCTGGACCAACAACTGAAGCAGACGCTCTCATTCAGAGATGGACAAGTTCTACAAGATGTCGAAGGTATCCTGACTTAATCCTTTGGATCCGCATCTGGATTTTGCATAGGAACAAAAACGCTTCTTTCTTTACATATAAAGGCAATGGTTTTGTTTTCTTTAAGGGTAGATTTGATATCTCTGCTCCTTTCAGGCTTTAAGTCTAAAAGCCGCAGCGTCTTACCCAGAAGGGGCAAAACGTTGTCCAACAATAAACATCCTCATGTTTGAACTTGTGTGAAAGAAATGATCAAATCAAAAGATTTTACACTCATCTTTGGGGGAATTGTCGTGTAAAAAAAGTATTCATCTATACAGTCCAGTTATTTAAATGGAGATCGATGGATTTACTCAGTCGGTACTTTATTTTACTTTGCAAAGTAAAAAGAGAACAAGACAACATAAAGCCCTCATTGCATGCTGTTCAGCCCTGTTCTTAATAGACAAAAGTTTGTCTCCCTTACTTACAATAATGCAAAGCAGTCAGAGTCTAAACAAATTGTAGACGCTTTGGTTAAACAGTAAAATGTTTTAATTAATAAACCTTGAGAAGAATGTGGCTTGTTATGGGAATAAGTATTTCTTGTTCCAAACACTCATTTCATTCAGAAATTTTCTGGCCTTGCAGGTGAAACAGACTAAATAAAAAAGTGTTCAGTAAGCAAATAACATAAATCAATATATGAAATAAGAAATGAGTACAAATCAAAATTTTCCCTCCACATTTTCGCCTCTTTTAAATATAAAATGACATTATCCTAGTGTAATTAAGTATTAAAAAAAAAGGGAAATCAGTGAATGTATGTAGAGAAAAGTAACAACTAACAAACTAAAAATATATGTAACTATTAATAAATATATGATTAAAAAAGAAACATTTGCAATCAAGCCAGTGGACCATGTTAATGAATGATTATAAAACAGTAAATGATTATACAATCAAACAATAAATCAAATGCAGATTAAGTTTAAGCTGAAAAAATAAATAAATAAATAAAAAATATATATATATCGGAACCTTTTCAAAACTTAAAGAATAAAAAATAAATAAATGGTAATTTCAAATCATAGAATCAGTCATGGTTAAGATGAAAATTACTCAGATGATTAAACTTGTCAAAGAAATCCTAAATTTTTTCATTTTAGATTAAATGTTTTCTCGGTGTCTAAGCCAAAAGGAGCATTTCTGCTCCTGTCAATTTTTTGGATTTTTTTCTTTGAGGAGGAGGGTTCCCAAACGCTTTAGCCTGTAACCCCAGAAATAACAATACAACAGTTTCTAAAAATACAAAGAATTACTTCTCTATATTTATTTAAAACTATAAGGGGGATTAAACATCATGTTTAGGTTTTAACATATTTTTACTTATTTATTTTAAATGTATATTTTGATAATAAGATGGAGTATTTCATTATTTAATTGTGGATTTTACAGTTTTGTAAATATAACATTAGAATCATGTATTAGATAAATAATTGAATAGGAATGGAGCGATATTAAAATGAGAGCTATTATTGATATCCCTTAATGATATAAAAGCTGTTGAGCACCATTAAAAGAAAAACCCCCACACTGACAGTATGTTTATGTTTCAGATTAACTCCCACAATTCTTTACTACATCACTATCACACCACAAAAGTCAACACCCCAATCAAAAAGTGGACCCAGTTTCACCCATCAGTCCGATATATTTCAAACTAATAAGGATGTTAATACTGATATATCATGATCATGCATCCCATAAATAAATATCACATCTACTTATTTAATGGGACATTTACATTAATGTATTTTATGATATATTTTGCTCATCAGAACAGTAGTTCCTAATCCACTTTGGGAACTTCTGACCTTGATGATGGAATCTCAGGTTCAGTGACTCAGAAAATGAAAATATTACACACAAAAAATTCTCCCGATTTTACATTTAGCTCTTCTTTTATTTTGTCAAACTAACTAACCTTTGACAGCGTATTAAACTAGACCCACCCGCCAGCGGGCAAAATCATGTGGTCTAGCCTCGATGAATGCCTCAGGCCCTAGAACTGGAGGGCAAATCACAACGCAGAGATCTGTTT